GATGAAACTTGCAGAACAAGAAGACTGCAGACTGTGCGGAGGCGATAAGGAGGGCGTCATCCACATTTTATGTGAATGCCCCCTATTAGCACTCCGTCGCTATAAAATCTGGGGCCAGGCTTTCCTGAAACCAGAGGACTTACAACAAGCGACTGTCACCAGCCTTATTAGCCTAGTGAGAAACACAGGGCTGGAGCTGTGTGACTGACCGAAACTAAGGCGGAAGTTACAAAAGATCGTATGATTTAGGTGACTCTGGGCGCTTTAAGTGACCAGCCGCACTTTTTCTATTCTATACTATTCTAACCCGTCAGCACTCGTGACGTTTCGCTGAGCACCTTTAGTCGCGTCGGAAGAGAATCTCACTAGTTGGACAGATAGATCCGAGTTATCCATGGAACTGGTTTAATATTACGAGTATTACTTTAGTCACGCCGTGAGAGAATCTCTTACGGTTCTCGGCCGAGGTCAATAAAGTATTTTATGTCATTAGGCCCGATAAACCGCGATTCTAATCTCGCTTCGCTCGGTTAGATTGCGGTTTTCGGGCCCAACGACATAAAATATCGTACGTCACACGGCGTTAAAAGCATTATCTGGCGAATGTGAGTTTATAATCCGAGCCGAAGGCACATTCGCCAGATAATACTTTTATCGCCTTATGACATAAGATACTCTGTATTTCATAAATTATTGATAAATGCTCGATGGTTTTTATTGACCCCAGAAAAAAGGGGATAGTTGCTTAAGACAATCCAAAAGTTTCCGACGAAAATCTCAATTTTTTTTACCATGTTCCATATACCCTGAAAATTTTTGTGAGAGAAAATTAAGTAGCCCGTTTCTAGTTCTCAGTCCCATACCTTCTAGAATCAAAGTTTCGTGAATTCTTTGATTCGAAAACAAAAACGTATAATTATGCAGAGCGTCATTAATTAATCTGTGGGATGTCTGCTACGAAGAAATCTTTTTTCATATATAAGTATTCGAAAAAACTAAAAGGAAACTGTCGAAAATTTTGAGGAGAAATTTCTCAGGGATATTTGGTAAAATGGAACATTTAACATTTTATAGTTTATTAAATGGATGTGGTCAAAAAATGGATTTTCTTGTTTTTAGATATTGTTATCGAGTAAAACAATGATCAAGAAAGCTTCAGTTTACGACTTCCTACGTCCATGGTTGGCTACTGGCCTTCTAACGAGTACAGGTTCGCAATACCTATGAAGTAGTTGCATAAATTATAAATGATGGTATATTATTGTGGCCAATCAGTAACAAAGCCATTAATGACTGATACATTCAGGTGATAAGTGGCGAAGACGGAGGAAAATTATTAATTCAATGTTTCATTTCAAAATTCTCGAGGGGTTTATGGAGACATTCGTTGAACACACTGATAAACTCGTGAAAACTCTGCTATCTGAAGCGCAGTCTGGTGATGTTGTTAAGGATCTTCTGCCCATGTTTTCAATATACAGTCTTGGAATAGTTTGTGGTAAGTATTTTCATGCTGAGGGATCAGTCTTTAATCCATACGCAGGGCCCCTTTCTGTGTTCAATGATATCCAGAAGATCCAATAAAGGCGCTGACGGCCCGGTAGGTACAAATCGGAGCGGACAAGTGGCAACTCACATATACACATTCAAATGAATTCAACTGGTCAATCAGCATTCAATTGGGTCAGGATGCTCAGTGGTCGAGTTATTTCCCATGAACGGCTTACTGCATATTTACGTGTCTTTTGCAATTTTATCTAAGATAAAATTGGATCGATTGCACAACCATCATTTCCGTTTCTCCACATCTATATGTGGCTTTGAAAATGGTATTGTAAAACTCTACGTCCGGGGTAGCGAGTATCAAAATTACATGAGGCATATGGGACATTCCATGTCAACTCAGCCACACCGGATTTTTTTTTGTCTGGGAAAAATCATTGAGTAGGTGCATTTTGAACTACCACATGTAGACAGTGATCCTGCAAATTTCATTGTCCTGCCACTTTTTGTTTCTGAGATAATCATTATGAAACTTGAAATTTTCAAAAAAATCATTACTTCTGAATGGAGCATCCGATTTTAATAAATAAAAAAAGAAAATTTTCATTTCTTCTCGTACTTTAAGATAAAAAAAACTTCAGAGCCGTCAATAAGTTCCTAGACCGGTTTTTCGAGAATTTTTCGCGTTTTCATTTTCTTTTCACTCTAGAGCCGCTCGATATTCGATCGAAATAGTTTTTTTATGATAAAGGATGTTCTTATATAATATGAAAAAATACGCCATAATGGAAGAGCGAAGCACTGCACCGGAAAAATTTTGTTTTTCGAAATTTTTGGATTTTTCAGTTTTTAAGGGAGATACATCGGTTTTTTTTTAAAGAAATGAGTCTGTCAACCATTATTCTTCGTTCATATATGATGACATAAGACTACACCATCATGTAACAGAGAAAGAGTGCGGCGAAAAAAAAAATTTTCATCGAAATTTTTACTAGAAGGATAGACAGTTGAATTGGACATTATCATCATCGGAAGTTTGCTAAATTAGGATCAAACAAATGAGAGGAAGAAACAAACGGAATCAATTAATTGATTTATCATCATCAGTCAGTTCCAAGGCTTTAATTCTAGAAAAAAACCTCAATTTCTCGATTGATTTTTTATCACCATACGATTCTGTGTGGATGGAATACCGAGCTCCTATCTTATTCTATTCTTGCAACGAGGTAAGGAATTTTCACGTTGATTATATAGAAATGATCTTTATTCTCGGAATTGATATCTTCGAATTTAATAGAATGCCGCGGAGTGATAGATGTGCGAATCCAATGCGGGCTCCTGGTGAGAAGGGACACCTCGGTTATAATTTACGTCCGATTTCCTTGACACTACACGAGAAATTTACTTTTTTACCATTGTCTGCGAAAATCTGTGGTCAATGCCGAACGAGAGCTCCAACTTATGTCATTCCTCCATCTGTCCCCACGGTTAAACTTAATTCTACACATCTTCAACGTTCGGAAACTCCACCCGATATATCAATGCTCCAAGCCGAAATATGCGACCCAAGTCTTGATGTGATGAACAGTTCTCTGAGATCAGATCGATCTTTAAATCTTGATGATTCCGGCATATCAATCGACGACGAATCAGACGATGAAGCTGAATTCGACAGTTCTTCCATGGATTATGATTCAGAAGATGACCAAATTGACATTGATCCATCTGCATCTGACCAGTATCGATCTGCGAGAGAAATAGAATTAGAAGAAATGTTGGATGGTTTGAAGCAGAAATTCAAAGATCTGAAAAACTACCGTGAGCGCCTGCAAATCTTGATGGTTCATCCAGAGTCGTGGAGTGCGCGGAAAATTGCTTCGGAATTTGGAACTACCAGATACATGGCAGCAAGAGCGAAAAGATTGAGAAAAATTAAAGAGTGTTCGCTTCACCAATTGTGAAAGCAGGTCATTCACTACCCAGCACAACCGTCGAGAAGGTACACAATTTTTACCTAGAGCACAGTCGCGTCATGCCAGGAATGAAAGATAAAATATCCATCAAGATCAATGGAGAGAAGAAAGTAGAGCAAAAGCGAATAATACTCGAAAATCTAAAAGTTCTTCATCGGAAGTGCAAACATGCGAATGAAGATGCAAAGGTCGGTTTCAGTAAGTTTGCCGAGCTGACCCCTAAACAATGTGTAGTGGCGGGAGCAAATGGCATTCACGTGGTATGTGTTTGTACGTATCATCAAAATTGCAAGCTGATCCTAGAGGCAATTAATATTGCCACTCTAACTCAAGATTTTCCCTGTCCACTCATAGATTACAAAGATTGTCTAGCAAAATTGATGTGTACAAATCCAACCCCGGCCTGTCATCTGGATGAATGTAACGATTGTCCTGGAGTGAAATCATTATCATGTAAACTGAAGAAACTTCTCTCTGATTCTGTCGTGGAAATGGTCGAATTTCGCATGTGGCAAAGTACTGACAGGTGTACTTTCCAGACACAGACCCTCCCGATGGATTAATTCATTGATCTTCTAATGGAACGATTGATAATATTGAAGCCCCATCACTTCATCGTACAGAACAATCGGCTTTTGTCAAACAGCAAAAAGAGAATTTGGATAATGGAGAAGTACTAGTGATTTTTCGGAAAATTACGGTTTGTGGCTCAAGATGCTGCTCAATCCTTCCACTACAATAATGACCAGTGTACAGTTCACCCCGTTGTTTACTACTATCGCGAAAAAAATGAAATCCAACATCGGAGCTTAGTCGTTTTGTCGGACAGTACGACTCACGGTACTGCCGCTGTTTATTTGATACAGAAGATTTTAATACAGCATGTGAAAGACAACTGTGAAAGTGTGGAGAAAATTATCTATGTCACCGATGGAGCTGCACAACATTACAAGAATCGTTTTCAGATCACGAATCTCTTGCATCACAAGACTGATTTTGGCATAGATGCGGAAACCCATTTTCATGCAACCGCGCACGGTAAAGGAGCTTGTGACGGAGTAGAAGCTATCTTTAAGAGAGAAGCGAGACGTAAGAGCTTGCAAATCGTTCATGGTGAACCAATCCTCACGCCAGATGCTTTGTTTCGATGGTCAAAAGAGAATTTTGACGGAATTGATGTTTTTTTTTTCACCAAGGCAGAACACGAGAATATCAAACTGAGTTGAGAGAGATTTGATAGTGCCAAAGCTATTCGAGCCATTCAAAAACACCATTGTTTTATTCCGATACCGGGAGAGCAATTGTTAATTAAACGATATTCGGCTTCGGCTAACGAGGAGGTTTTCCCAAAGCAAAAACAAACAACAACAAAACGAAAAACCCGCAGAAGACAGTAATCGTGATATAAATAATTCATCAGTGCATGTTGGAACTTGTCGTCGAAGAGAGTGGAGAATTTCTCCGTATTGTAAAAACGTAAAAATGTGAAAATATAAAATGATTGTCGTTATAGAAGAATAAAAATTATTTTTTTCCCATACTTTTTCGTTAGTGAAAAGCACAGTGTGTTGTTGAGAAAAGATTTATAGTCGTATCAATAGTCTATTCTATCCAGCAGAACAGAAAATGTCTATTGACAAACGCCTTTTTCAGTAACAATAATGCAACTCTCCTAAACGACAAACGTAAAAATTTCGAAGAAAAATTTTTTGCGGAGCATTCTTTCTCTCTTACATGATGGCGTACTCTTTTGCCATCATATATGAACAAAGAATAATAGTTGACAGACTGATTTCTTTGAAAAAAACTGATGGATCTCCCCTAAAACCTGAAAAAGCCAAAAATTTCGAAAAAAAAAAATTTTTTCCGTTGCATTGCTTCGCTCTTCCATTATGGCGTATTTTTTTCATATCATATAAGGACATCCTCTATCATAAAAAAAATATTTCGATCGAATATCGAGCGGCCCTAGAGTGAAAAAAAAATGAAAACGCGAAAAATTCTCGAAAAACCGGTCTAGGAGCTTCTTGACGACTCTGAAGTATTTTCTATCTTGAATTACGAGAAAAAACGAAAATTTTCTTTTTTTATTTATCAAAATCGGATGCTCCATTCAGAAGTAATGATTTTTTGGAAAATTTCAAGTTTCGTAATGATTATCTCAGAAACAAAAAGTGGCAGGACAATGAAATTTTGCATGATCACTGGCTATATGAAGTAGTTCAAAATGCACCTACTCAATGATTTTTCCCAGACAAAAAAAAATCCGGTGTGGCTGAGTTGACATGGAATGTCCCATATACACAATGCTTAGTTGGCATTTTTACAGATCAACTTTGAGTGTTCTCTCTATTTATAACTTATAAAACCTTGATTACTCCGTTTTTATTCCTGTTTTACCGTGTTTTGCACTTTTAACCTCCTTATTTTGAATTCTCCGAGATTCATACTCTTTCCGGGTGATAGTGTAGTATATTGTCTCTACCGACGCTATTGCCCTTATGTGCAAATCTTTCAAGCTCATTTGGAAACAAGGCTAATGCTAGCGGATTGAATGTAGCGGAGTGAATTACGTCCTTATTCTGATCAGCCAAATCCCGATTGAAAAAATGGATCCTAACATTTTGATCTGACATGGATCAAAACAAGCATTACATTTCTCATCCAAAACTAATCAAAAGCAGTTTTTACTGACCAGTTTCTTATTTCAGTTTGATTTCAGTTGCCACTCGCGATATCGATGGAATTCGATGTTTTTTTTTCATGTTTTTGGGGGGTAAGGATTGCGAATACATCTGTTTTTTACACATAAGTTAAAAAAGGAAAAATAAAAACTGAGAACTAAAACTGAAAAGTCACGGAGGGAAAAAACAAAAGAGGAAAAGTTTGGGGGACACCAAAATATCCATCATTCAAGGCTCAGATAGGGAAAAACGAAGGGGCTGGGTTCGGTCCAAGCAAGACGGCCGGGCCGCCGGAGTTCGGGAACCGTTCCTCAGTCGGGACTGCGCCGATCTTAGCT